GACGCTTCCCCCCTCCTCTCTCTCTCCCCCCTTTCCTCGTCTTTTCCCTTCTCATCCTTTCCATAGGTCTTTGCCACGCTCCGCAAGGCCTCTTCTATCTCCTTCCCTTCCTTCTTCTTGCTCGCCTCTCGTCATGGCGGCTGGCTCTGGCTGTCTGGCTACAACCTCACTGCCGGTGATGGTCATGGTCATGATGGTACTCTTCCTTAACGTTTTCCGACAAACGGAAGGAGCTTCGTCAACTGCTCCCTGTCCGCCCTTTGTCACCGCTGCTAATCGCTATGGTTCCACCTACGTTAACAAATGGTCGGCTCGGGCTGCCTTTAACTCGGTCTGGGAGGACGTTGATGTCGATCAAGATGGTCTGGTGGAGAACTACTACGTCGTCGGATCGATGTGGACAGAGTTTGCGTCAACCTCATTCCTTCCGGCTTGGGTCTCATCCGACTGCACCTCTATCGCCACAGTGAGTTCGTTGCACTTTGATCTCACCACGCAAGGTACCGCTATCGGTACCAACAGCATCACCCACTCGGTCGTCGACAAAGACCTGACCGGAGACGGCTTTCCTGACGCCGTCATCTCGACCGCCAACGGTGTTCATCTGGTGCCCAACTCGGCGCTCTCCTCGCCGTACTGGGTCGCCAACGACACTGTGGCTGCCTCCAACATCTGGACCGCAGCCAGTTCTACCGGCACCATCCACGTGCTGGAGGACATGGATCTCGATGGCGATCTGGACATGGTGTTCTGGCACTACTCTTCGAGTGCCGATGCGACGTGGTACCCCAACATGGGCAACGGCACGTTCTCGGTCAACCCGATCATCATCCATGCCACACCCGGCTCGTACTACTGCTACGGACCAGCGTTTGGCGACTTTACCGGCGACGGGATTCGTGATTTTGCGGCCGGACGGACTGATCATCGAGTGGTGCTGATTGCGGCGAATGGAGCGGGCATCATTTCCGACGCCATCACGACGCCGGTTCTGATCTCGTACTCGAGCGTGTACACGCCCGGAAACGTGGGGATCGGCGATTTTGATGGCGACGGTGACAGTGATCTCGCTATCTTGTTCCATGGCACTCGGGCATGGGGCTTTACGGCAGTGCGCAACGTGGCGACCGGCCCGGGGCCGTTTGTGGCCGGGGCGACCGAGTGGTTCAAGCGCGACTGCCGAGACTGCCGTGGGCTGGCCACATACGACGTGGACGGCGACGGACGGATGGACGCGTTGTATTCGTCGGTGCGGTACGACCAGTTCTTCTACACGCGGTGGGACGGAACCGAATTTACGACACACACGATCGGGTCGGGTGTTGAGGCGTACTTTATCAAGTTTGTTGACATCGACAAGGACGGCAAGATTGATGTGCTGGCGGGTGACGGATTCCGGCTCCGAATCTACGGGTTTGACTCGATCACCAGCTTCCCGCTGTGGTACAATCAGGAGATCCGATACGGACAGCGGAGCGCCGGGCGTGGGCAGTTTGACGTGGTGGACGTGGATGGCGACACGTGGATGGATGTCGTCTCACCAGGCTCGAACGGGATCTACATCATGTACAATGCTGGGCCTGCAAGCGCGCGGCCTGGAGCGGACGAGCTGTTCCCGCGGTCCAAGATGGTGCGAGCGATGGGCGATCCCGTGGTGACGTCGTGGGGCGTGGCGTCTGTGATCGGCGACATCAACGGCGATGGGATGTTTGAGATCCTTGGGTTTACGGGCACGGCGGCACCGTACTCGATGGTGGCTGTGCGGCCTGCCACGAACGACGGGTACGCACCGAACCAGTATGTGGCACCCGGCAGCGGGGTGTTTGGGTACAAGAGCGATGCGGCGATTGCACTGTCCGAGGCGTCGTTCACGGCGATGCACGCCATGGCTGTGGTTGACATTGACTACGACGGCGACTACGATGTGGTGTTCTCGGCACGCAACGGGAGCGAGGCCGGGGCGTTGTGGCTGGCGCGCAACCGGTACGTGGAGGACGGACTGAGCGGAACGACGAGCACCGTGTTTGACGAGCTGTTGCGACTGGGCTGGGGCCATAGCACGGGTGACTATGTGACCGAGTTTGAGATTGGCGACCTGAACAACGACGGGCAGCTGGAGATTGTGATGATCTGGTACGACAGTGAGCGGATCGACATTCTCTCGACGTCTGTGCCAGGGTATGGCGGGCCTGTGATCAACGGGAGCTATGCGACGGGAGGATCCGAGCTCGTGAGCCTGCAGATTGTGGACCTCAACATGGACGGATCGGACGATGTGCTGTTCCTGCGGAACAGGCGGTATGTGCGTGCGCTGTTTGGACAGGCGCCCGGGGCCGACTACGAGCATTTTCACTACATGACGGAAGTCGAACTGTACGACGCGGGGCGTGAGACGTATTGGGTGACAGCGGGACAGCTCAACGGACCGGACGATGCGTATGTGGACATTGCAGTTGTTCGGTACAACGATCCTGTAATCTGGCTGGTGGGCCAGGACGGGAGCGGGACCAACTATGCTGCGCGCAGCGTGGGCGGGATCCCGGCGCTGACCAACAGCCACTACCGAGGCACGCACGCGGTGGCGCACTTTCGGGACGTGAACGGTGACGGGTACGACGACGTGGAGTTTACGTCTACACAGTACATCTACTACATGCCATCGTACGGGTTCAACGGGGCGTACAACTACCACTGGTCGTCATCGTATCTATATTACACATACGGCATGGTTGTGGCGGACGTCAACGGCGACTCACTCCCGGAGATGATCTCGCCGAACCACAACGGGCCGGTGGCATCGACGTGCACTACACGACGAACCGGTTCACGAGCATCAGCCTACAGCGGACGAGTCTTTCACGCGATGTGGACAACTCGCGGATGATTGACTGGAATCTGGATGGGCGGCCTGACCTGTTCTCGCTGACGACGGTGGGCGGAGTGGCGACGGTGAGCTTGCATGTACACAACCCGGCAGCGGTGTGGCAGGCGTACACAGACGCAGACCGGGAGGAGTTCAATCTGCCCTGGTGCAACCCGATGCGTGATCCTCTGATGCATGATCTGACGGGGTCTGGGCTGGTGGACGTGTTCATGGCGTGCAATAACGACAACACGATGGCGATGCTGTCGCGCGAGTTTGCCGCGAATGCTGTGCTGGAGCCTGTGGTGACAGTGGTGGACCTCCGGAAGGACATGGGGACGTCTGCCTGCAATGTGTGGCTGTACTTTGAGTGGGTGGACTTGCGGGCTGGCGGATACGACGAGCTGCTTGTGTCATGCTCATCAGGCGGCGGGATTGTGCTGATGGACGTGGTGGCTGCATTTGCGGGGGCAGACATGGGCAACGTGACAAACCTGCGGCTGTCCGACGGCGAGTCACTAGCATTGTTCACGGCATCCTCGTCGTACCAGGGTGTGCGGTGCTTTGACGTGGATGGCGACTCGCTGCTGGACCTTGTGATTGGCGACTCGACAGGGGTGCAACTCTCGTACATTCTCAACTCGGGCAGCAGCAGCGGGCCCGTGTTCAACGAGACGGTGCGTGTGCCGCTGCAGACGCACATTTCGCGTGAGGCGACGACGCAAGGGACGATGTACTCGTTGGCGGCAGAGGATGTGGACAACGACGGGGCCATGGACATTGTTGTGTCGACAACCAACGCAGGCACGTTTGTGCTGTACAACCAGTCGCCGATGGGCGGGCCGTTCAACGAGAGTGGGTTGGTGCTGTCGACGCGGTTTGCGCCGCGGACGCTCGCATCCGTGGGCGGGCTGCGATCGTCTGTGCGGCATCCTGTGGTTGTGGCGGATCTCGATGGCGACGGATGGCGCGACCTGGCGTTTGCGTATGACCGGTACGTGGGGATGTTCATCGACAACAACCGGGTGAATAGCCCGACGACGAATCCACCCGAGACGTTCCGCGTGGACGTGAAACGGTGTGGGTACACGATGGCATGTGTGATGGACACGATCACCCGACTGCCCGGGTACTGCTCACTTGACTCTGTGGTGATGCCTGCGGGGACGTACACCGGGTGCTACCAGGTGAAGCCTGCGGAGCTCCGCAAGTCGATCCATCTGATTGGCGAGGGGGGTCCGGGAGCACAGTGATCGACTGCGGGCGTGGACCGGCTGGACCGGCAGGCTCTGGCCACTACGGGTACCAGGTGAAGGAGGCATCTGTGGCTGTGACGATCACCGGGGTGACGTTCAAGAACTTTTACACCGACTCGACCGGGTTTGGCGGCGGCGCGCTGCAGGTGACTGATGGCGGGACGCTTGAGCTCCACGACGTGGTGTTTGAGGGGTGCGAGGCACGGGCGTTTGCGCAAGCGTCTGTGCGATCACCGCTGCTTGGGTTCGGGTCTGCGATTCTTGTGTATGACGGCGGGATTGTCGAGGGCGACGGGCTGCGGTTCTCTGACAACTCGGCGGGGCATTCCGGTGGAGCGATTGCGGTGCTAGGCGATGCGAACAGCGTGAGACTGAGCAACACGGTGTTTGAGCGTAACGTGGCGGTGTACTCGGGCGGAGCGCTGTTCTTTGAGCAGACGGAGGGCTCGAACAGTCTGAGCTTTGTGGACGTGCAGTTCAACGAGAACCGAGCCGTTGGCGATCCAAAGCGAAGCGAGGTGCTCGCGCGCGGCGGGGCGGCAGTGTTCATTGTGTACGGCGGGAGCCTGAGCGTGGCGCTTAGCGGGACGACGTGGGCTCGCAACGATGCGATGAATGAGGCCGGAGCGCTTCAAGTTGTGACGACGCTCGACTCGAGCGCGAGCGTGGACATGACGAACACTCGGTTTGTGGACAACAGTGCAAGTGAGTCTGGTGGAGCGGTGTTTGTGTCTGTGGTGGATGCGTCGACGGCAACGATCAACCTGCAGGGCGGGGTGGTGTTCTCGGGCAACAGCGCAGGCGGGTCGGGCGGAGCGCTGTTTGTGTCTGCGTCATCTGACGCACCGAACCAGGCGCTTGCGCCACGGGCGGTTGTGAGCGGAGTGGCGGGCGATCTTTTGTTTGAGAACAACAAGGCGTCAATTCATGGCGGAGCTGTGGGCCTGCGAACGGAAGGCGGCGAGGACGCCGCGCTTGCGCCGATCGAGTTCACGACAAGCGGGGCTCAGTTCCGCGGCAACGATGCCGGGCGGATCGGTGGCGGTGTGGCCGGGCTTGGACGGCCTGTTGTGACTGTGAGCGGCGGCGACTTTTCGTACAATACGGCGACGTTTGGAGCCGCAGTGGGCAGTGCGCGGGCGAGTGGGTACATGCAGGGAGCACAAAGCGCGACCGGGTTCACGATTGAGGCGTCGTCTGCGTCGCTGCCGCTCGCGTCGTACGATGCGGCGAGTGCGAGCGGGGGATGTGGCGCGGTGCGGCGCGGGGTGATGGAGATCAAGGGCGGGACGGCGCTGGCGGACAACGTGGCAGCGTACGGGCCCGTGGCATTTACGTGCGAGAATCTTGTTGTGCTCAACTCGCTCGGATCGCTCTCGCTTGGAGTGCAGTCACCGGTGGGCGGAGTGGTGTTTGAGTGCGCGACGACGCTCGACTGTAGCGGGAGCGGCGATCCTTGCTGCAGCAGCGGGTCGGGAGGATCGCTGCTTGCAGGCACGCCATGGGTGGCACTCGATAGCGGGGCGTCTGCGGTTGTGAATGCGACAGCAAACGCGCTGCAGAACGCGGTGTCATACGGGCCGTACCGTGCGACGCCTGCTGTGCGGATGCAGTTTGTGTCACCGTTCCCCGAGTCTGTGTCGACAGGACTGCCGTTTGGACGTGGCGGGGTGCTTGTGGTGTACGACGCGTTTGATCAGCTTGTGGTTGACTCGAATGTGGTGGCAGAGTTGGCACTAGATTCAGGATCGACGACAAACTTCAAGTTTTCAGGAGGGGCACAGCAGCAGCTGCTTGCGACATCGCCGGTGTCGTTTTCGGCGTCCAAGCTCTCGCTGACATCCGAGGCCGGGATCGGGACTGCGGCGAGCTTTGTGGTGCGGATGGTCAAGTCAGCTGTACCGGCGACGTCACTGCTGTACCCACAGCTTGAAGGATCGACGACTGTGGCACCGTGTCTGCCCGGTGCCGGTGTCGTTGCTCGACCTGGCTCGGATGTGCTGGAGTGTGCAGAGTGTGTGGAGGGGACGTTCTCGAACGACACATCGCTGGATCCATGCCAAGCATGCCCTGCTGCCGAGTTCCTGACGGGTACAGGGGCAACCGAGTGTCTGCTCTGCCCCAAGGGAACGACACTTGTGGGCGGGCTGTTTGACCCGGACGTCGGGCTCAACTGCACATGCTTGCCCGGATACTGGCACCGATTTGCGGCGTACAACGAAGAGTGCGAGGAGTGCCCGCCAGGTGGGTTCTGCAAGGGTGGGACGGCGGTTCCTGTGGCGAAGCGTGGCTACTATCCGACACAAGAGGCGGATGTGTTCCTGGAGTGTCCGAACTCGGGAGCGTGCGTGGGCGGATTCCCGTTCCAGTGTGCGGAGGGGTACAAGGACCGGCTGTGTGCGGCATGCAAGCGCGGGTACTATGCGCTGTCTGGGCGATGCTACAGGTGTGATGACCGGACGATTCCGATCATGTGCCTGATCATTCTGCTCTCGTTTGGACTCGTGTTTCTGCTTGTGTGGCTCAACTCAAAGGAGGAGCTGAGCTACCGGTTTGCGGCTGTGATGATTGGGTTTAACTCGCTGCAGATCAGTGCAATGTACGGGCGGCTGGAGCTGCCGTGGTCGGACTTTGCACGTCAGTTCTTTGACATTGTGTCTTTCCTCAATCTCAACTTTGATCTGAGCTCGCCCGAGTGCGCGACGGTGACAGAGGATGTGTGGCTGCTCAAGTGGTGGATCACGATGATGCTGCCACTGCTGTTCTGCATTCCGTTCCTGTCTGTGTTTGGCGGATGGACACTGTACATCAAGTGGGGTGCGGCCAAGCTAGAGCGGACGGCGGAACTGACGGTAGGCTCACTGGCAGATGCATGCCGGCGTGGGTACTTTCAGCTCATGGCGCTGTTGTATCTGCCGCTGACAGCGATGACGATGAGCTACTTTAACTGCCATCAGAACGACGAGGGGCGGTGGGTGCTCCAGGCAGCGCCATCGAAGAGCTGTTATGGGGTGTGGTATTGGAACTACTTTGGTGTTGCAGTTGCCGGGTCTGTAGCGTACTGCATCGGGATCCCATCGTTTGTGTACTGGCTGCTGTCGCGTGCGCGGCGGCGGAACCCGGAGGAGTATGCGATTTTTGCGTTGCGATACGCGTTCCTTGTGGGGCGATTTGACGCGGACAATTTCCGGTTCGAGGTGTGGATCATGGTGCGCAAGTTTGGGGTTGTGTGTGTGATGACGTTGTTTGCGTCAACAGTTGTACGAGCGCACATGGCGACACTTGTGCTGACGGGATCGCTGATGCAGCTTGTGCGGTTCCTGCCGTACATGTCGCTGTTCCACAACTCGCTTGCGGTGCTGTGCCTGGCGTCGTGCACGGGGATCCTGTGGGCAGGGACGTTTGGGCCGTCGCGAGCGCGCGACATGGGAGTGATGGTTGCGATTATTGTCAACATCTGCGCGATTGTGGTCGGTAATGTGATCGACTTGATCATCATCTACCGGACACGGCGCGAGGCCGAGAAGGAGTTTCTGGCGGATGAGGCGGACGATCTGAAGGAGGCTGGCACGTTTACAACGTTTGGTGACGGCGGGTGTGCGGGTGGCAACGAAGTGGAGCTGTCTGTACTTGGCCAGACGCTGGGCTCTGCGATTATGACGACAATGGAGTCGCCGATATTGAGCGGAGTTGACTCGGACAAGTTTGGGTCGGTGAGTGTGGTGAACCCTGTGTTTGGTCGGGAGGGTGCGATGATGCGGCTCGACTCTGTGCAGTCGATGGGTGACGGAAGCGTTGCGTACTCGATGAATCCGGCGTTTTCGGCAGGGGTTGAGTCGAACTCTGCTATGTTTGGATCCGAAGACGGTGCAAACGACCTTGTGACTCCACCGCCGGCGATGCCGTTGCCGCCGGCTTCTGGGATCACCGAGCCAATGGCGCTGTCGGCAGAACTTGAGTGCGTGGATGACGATGCGGCGATGTACAACGGACCGGGATCTTTGTCCTCACCAACGCATTCGTTGGCACTTCCAACCAAGCCGGCGTTGCCGGCGCCGCTCCCGACCAAGCCAGCGATGCCAGCTCCGCCGCCGCCGCGGCCTGCTCTGCCGTTGAAGCCTGCGCTACCACCAGCATTGCCGGGCAAGGCGGGGCTCCCGCCGCCGGCCAAGCAGCCGCTGTCACCGATCTCGTCTTCATCATCTTCGTCGTCGTCGTACTATTCGTCGTGACTCGATGAGATAAATGGATTCATTTGAGAAGCAGAGGACGGCAGAAGAGATGGGAAGGATCTATGAGGTAGTGACCGACTTTGCCAGGGAGCGCGGGCGATCGACGTCGAGGCCGAGCATGTCAGCGACGTGGTATGCGATGAGCTGCATGGGGATGACGTTGAGGATGCCCTGGATGCAGTCCTGAACAGGCGGGACGGGGAGGGTGTGCTCGTACTCATCACAGGTCTCGTCGTCGTTGTCGTGGCAGATGACAACAGGGTTACCGGAGCGGGCAGCGACTTGCTGCAGCGAGGAGCGGAGGTCGGTGAAGAGGCGGTCGCGGGTGGCGATGGCGATGATGGGCATCTCCTCGTCGATGAGGGCGAGTGTTCCGTGCTTGAGCTCACCAGCGAGGATGCCCTCTGCGTGGAGGTAGGTGACCTCCTTGATCTTGAGGGCACCCTCGAGGGCGGTGGCGTAGCCGTAGCCGCGGCCGAGGATGAGCAGCGACTTGCGGGTGGCAATGTCAGCCGAGAGGGCCTGGATCTTCTCGTCGAGCTCGAGAACGCGCTTGACCTTTTCAGGCAGGGTGAGGAGGTCCTGGATGATGGCCTTGCGGCGGGCCTGGTGGGAAATCTTGTCGCGGGAGAGGACGAGTGCGACGAGAAGAAGTGCGAGGCACTGGGAGGTGTAGGCCTTGGTGGAGGCGACGCCGATCTCAGCACCTGCGTTGACGTGAACGCCGCAATGGGTCTCACGGGCAATGGCGGAGCCAACGGTGTTGGTGATGCCAACGCAGAGAGCGCCACGAGCCTTGCAGTAGGCAAGGGTGCGGAGGACGTCCGCGGTTTCGCCGGACTGTGAGATGAAGAACACAGTGTCGTCGCGGAAGATGGGGGCGCGGCGGTCGAGAAAGTCGGAGCCGTTCTCGCAGCTGACAGGGATGCCGGTCAGCTCCTCGAGGATGGGACGGGAGGCAACGCCCGAGTGGTACGAGGTGCCACAGGCGATGATGATGATGCGGCGGGAGCGGAGGATCTCGTCGACGCGGGACTCAAGGCCACCGAGGACCACGGTGCCGTTGTCGAGAACACGGCCGCGCATGGTGTTGTAGACCGACTCGGGCTGCTCCATGATCTCCTTGAGCATAAAGTACTTGTACTTGCCCTTCTGGATCTCCTCGAGCTCCATCTGCAGCTCTGTGATGCGACGAGAGGGTGGGGTCGACTGCGGGGTGACTTCGCCAGACTTCTTCGACTCGACGCAGGCGGTGATGGTGTAGGCGCCGTTGGCGATGTGAAGGACGTCAAAGTTCTCGAGGTAGATGACCTGGCGAGTGTGCTCGATGAGGGCCGAGGCGTCCGAGGCGATGAAGTACTCCATGGCTGTCGGCTCCTCAGCGGCGGATCTTTCGAGGACGGTGTGGGCGTCGGCAAGGGAGGGCACATGCGAGAGGGCCGAGCCCGAGGGCGAGCGGCCGAGAGAGCTGACGTCGGGCATGGACGAGAAGGCACCGTCCGAAGCACCAGAGGCGTCCAAGGTGAGGTCGGGCGAGGACGACCAGCCGACCAGCGACTCTGGGCCAACACGGCGCTTGAGGATCTCGGAGAACTTGGAGCCGGTGGGGACTGACGGCTGGCCCTGATGAAGGGTGGCCTGAGACAGGAAACGCGAGCCCGGGCGAACGATCTCATCGGCAAGGGCCGAGTTGAGGGTGTCAGCCTGAGTGGTCTGCATGTAGAGCTCGAGCTCGCAGAGGTCGATACCGATCTCGTCCTTGGAGCGGAGGCCGAGGACCATGGGGGAGCCGACCTTCGTGGCGACGACCTCGTTGGGGTAGTGGGGCGACTTGACGATGAGGGCGTACGCGCCCTCGAGGAGCGACATGACATGGATGAGGAGGTCCTTGAACGCCGGCTTCTCGCCGTTGTTATCGGCGACGATGGCGTCAAACTCGATCTTGAAGAGCTTGGCGACGACCTCAGTGTCGGTCTCCGACTCGAAGACGGCGCCCTTGGACTCGAGGAGCATCTTGAGCTCGCGGTAGTTGGTGACGATACCGTTGTGGACGACGACAAACTGGTTTGCGGCATCAGAGCGATGCGGATGCGAGTTGATGGCCGATGGCTCGCCATGGGTAGCCCAGCGGGTGTGAGCAATGCCGACGTGGCAAGCGAGCTCCAACTCGAGGTCCTCCTCGGCAGTGGCACCAGCAATCATGTCCTGCAGATCAGCGACACGACCCTTGTTCTTGAACAAGCGAGTCTCCGGAGCATTGTCGGGGAAGGGCAGGGCGACCGAGTTGTTGCCATCTGCGCCACTGGCAGTAACCTCCTCGGCAGCCGCAGCAGCAAGACGAAATCCGTCTGTGGCCACACCCGCCGAGTCATAGCCGCGGTACTCGAGGCGACGGAGGCCGTTGATAAGGACTTGCAGGAGAAGCGCACGCTTGCGGGGAACAAGATGGTTGATGTACGCAAAGATGCCACACATACTTGGCTTTCTTCCTTGCTACTTTCCAAGTCAAGTCTGTCTTCTTTCTCGTCATATGCCGTTGTGGGTGACGGGGCAAGCGGCAGAGAGCGGGTGGAGGGGGAGGGGGGACGGGGGACGGTGCGGGTGAGCGAACAAAAGGCGAACGAACAAAAACAACGACCAACAAATGAAGGTTCAAACGAATGTGAAGCATGAGCGAGTCAACGAACAAACGTAGGAATATTTGGACGAGCGAACGAACGAAGGAACATAAACGAAACGAGCGAACGAACGAAGAAAACGAATTGTGAGCGACGTCCCACACTTTGTGTGACTGCTGAGGTCACACGTCAGTGTCAGTGGTATGGTGATGTGGAAGGGGGGGGGGGGGGGGGAGCGATGAGCAGGGGAGGGGGCTGTGCGGCGACTCGGGAAGGGATAATTTTCGCTTGTTTGTGTATGTGTTGGATGGATGAGGTGATTCGGGCGAGTGCGGCGAGTGCGTCCGCTGCGAGCTGGTCGCGGTAGGCATCACCTGACTTGTTGTGAGGGAGGGCAACGAGCTGAACTCTGGCCGACGTTGTTGTTCATGGCGGCTTTGGATCGAGAGATCGAGCTCGATAGTGGGGCAGCAGTCCGAGTGGCGCAGGATCTGGATCTTGGGCTCGGCGGCTCGGTGTGGGATGCCTCTATCGTGCTCGCAAAGTACCTCGATCACATCCAGCTGGACGGCTTGATGTACCCAACTGCGCTTGGTGCCGGCGTTGGCGGCGACGTCGGTGAGGGCTCCGGCCCAGGGTTGGCCCCGGGAGTCCAGAACCCGTCGAGTCCAAGCCCGAGCGTGCCGGGCCCCGCAGATACGCTCTGGCTGGAGATCGGAGCCGGGACGGGAGTGCTCGGGCTGGCGGTGGCCGAGCTCCTTCGCGGGATGGCGAGGAGCGGCAGCGGAGCAGTGGATGTGGTCGTCACCGACATCCCACCGGCTCTCGCGCTGCTGGAGAAGAACGTGGCAAACTACGTGGCCGAGCACGGGCTGGAGACGGTCACCCTTGCTTGCGGCGAGTTGCCGTGGAGCGTCGAGCCGGGCAAGGTCGAGGTCGCAGTGGCTGGCATCCCGGGCTTGGCCGACAAGCTTGCCAACGCCCCCGGGCTTGCCGTCCTCGCGGGGGCTTGCGTGTACGAGGCCGACGACTTTCCTGCTCTCCTCTGCACGCTCGCCACGCTATGTGCTGCTCTTCCGCTCGGTGCGCCCGTGAGCGTGGTTATGGCTACCGAGCTCCGCGGCCAGGGCGAGATCGGGTTCTTCCGCCAGGCGCGCGGGCTCGGGTGGAACGTGCGGTACATCGAGGCCGACGCGCTGCATCCGGACTGGGTTGCCGACGACATCGTCGTCGTGGTCCTCACCAATGAGCTGGGCGCGCCTGTGACGGGATGCTGACCGCGCGCATCGAGTTCAGTGTGTTTAGTGCTGTGATGGCGGCGTGGCAGAGTTAGAGGACCGGGCGCGGGTTGATCCAGTCGAGAAACTCGTTGAATGAGATGTAGCCGTCGTTGTTGGCATCGACGGTGTTGGCCAAGGCGAGGATGTCGGCCTCATCGATGCCTTCGGAGACGTCAAGGACGGTGTCGGGCATGTGCTTGAGCATCTGGCGGTACTCGTCGACAGGAATGGCGCCGGTGTTGTTCGGATCAAACTCGCGGAAGAGTCGGATGGCAGCAGCGAGGGCGTGCGAGTTATCGGCATGGAGACGCTCAAACTTGCCGCCGTCCTGCATCCACCACGTGCGAAACTCTTCAAACTCGATCGCACCCGACCCGTCGGCATCCATAAAGGCCATAGCGTTGACAAGCTCTTGCTCTGAGAGATAGAGTCCCTTGTCATAGCAAAGGTTGTGGAACTCGTCCATCTCCAGATTGCCCGTGTTTGATGCATCGTACTCATCAAACAGATTGCGGAGAATGACTTCAGAGAGCGACGAGAGTCCGTGCACGTCCGGCCGAGGAAAGTCAGGCTCGTCCTCGAGCGCCTCAATCCGCATCCCTGCATACCACCGCATCCCCGCACATGCCGCCGCGCTTCCTACAAGACCCTGTCCTCCCCACACATCCAGCCACCCGGTCCCTCATCATCCAAGTAAGTGCCCGCAACCTTCCACCGCCCGGAAAAGGTCGTCAACAGCCCCAATAGTGATCGATCACCACTTTGCCTGCTTGTGACCCAGAGCAACCCACCTGGACCGTCCCCTCCCCCCCCCCCCCCTTCCCCAACGCGTACGCTTCGTGAGGCAAGTACAGCTGAAGCAAAGCGAAGCATGACAAGTAATAGAGAAGGTGTAGACTACAAGGGACAACCGTGTAGCTATCGTGCGCAAGCTGCGATCAAGACGAGTGCCGCACACACGCCGCTAGCCGCGATCATCGCAGTCGACAGGTGGAAGCGGCAGGAAAAAGCCGTGGAAGCGGCAAGCCGTGCGGCGATCGATCACAGGCAACGTTTGTTCCCCACAGCTACCACAGCCACCCTCACTACTCACCAGCATCAGGGCATGGCCAACGAGAGCGAGAGTGGGGAGAGCGTGTGGGAGGCATGGGAGCAGGTTCTCTGCGGTAGCACTCCTTGGACGCTCGGTATGGAGCGGGCGGCTGTGCTCGACGGCTCGTACCGAGCCTGGACAGACAACGACAATCAGATGCATCTCGTTCATCTGCCTTATCTCAAGCCGATGGGTGCCGACGTCGTGCTCGACGAGTCGCAGCGAAGCGAGCTGATCGACCGCATCGCAGCGGTGATTCGTGCTGCAGGTGCAGAGGCCGTATCGTCTGGACTAGTTCACCTCGGTCGGCCTAAAGGCCGCTGCAAGGGCAAGGTCTATCTCAAGATCGAGCCAAGCGATGATAGCGCCGGTGTCCTCGCCATGTCGTGGTCATATATGAGACCGCCGGGCGGGATGAAGGCCACATCAGCCGCGCTGTGGGAGACCATGGATCGATGGCTGCCACGTGGAGCGGGCGGGAGCGACGAAGAAGTCGGCGAGCGGAACGATGATGACATCGGCGAGTGCAACGACGACGAGCTCGACTTTGGACGTATCCAGCCGATGTCAAACGTGGCTGGAAATCGCAACTGGGTGTAGGCATGACCGGCCGATATGTGCGAGCGGGCGCAAACAAGGAGCTAAACGCGATCATCGGAGCGGGAGCGGGAGCGGGAGCGGGAGCGGGAACGAGCGCCACCGCGCTGGAAGAACTGCGAGAAGACACCGTCCGAGCTCTCCGAGCCCGATTCAGAGCTTTGGGCGATAGACGATGGCTCTGGAGCAATGCGCTGGGCGCGGGCCTCGGCGCGCGAGATGGGATCGATGGGTGGAACGGTGACGCCGTTGCGGTTGTAGGCAGTCGGGCGTGCGTGCGTGAGGAAGCGGAACATGAGCGGGAACTTGAAGATGAGAAAAGGAAAGGAGAGCAGGCCGTAGAGAACCTTGCACCAGTAGACGACGGCACGGAACTTGGCGTTGCTCTCAAAGCCGCGCTCGAGCAGCGACTTGGAGCCCGTGGTAAAGGCAGCAGCGATGATGGCGAGCGAGACGAGAGAGAAGACGATAAAGTCGTAAACAAGGAGCGGACGGATGAGGCCGCCACGACCGCGGTATCTGCGGGCACCACAGCAGGTCGGGGGCGGGTCGTCGATTCGGGTCGAGCTCCGCGGTGGGTCCTCGTCATCATCGGCGCGGGCGAGCTCGGCGCGGATGCGGACCATGCGGTCGGCCTCGTCAGCGTCGAGTGTGCCGTCACCATCGAGATCGTACCCGCCGTCGGCTGAGGTGAGCGTCTCGTACCGCTTGCCGCCCTTCTTGCGGGTGTACGGCAGGCGAACGTAGGCGAACCAGACGAGGAGGACTTGGAGGACGAAAAAAGCGAGGAGCCAGAGTGGCTCCTGGCCCGGCCCGGTCCGGATGCACTCGTTACGCTGGCGATGGGTGAGGAGGACGACGTCGTCGTCTCTCCCGTCCGAGTCGGCAAAGTACAGGCAGAGAAAGTACTGCATGGCACCGCGGACGGCCGGAAAGACGCCAGCAGCCAAAAAGGCGACGCCCTTAAAGGCGATGACGTAGGCGCAGACCTGATACTCGTCCGAGGTATCCTTGGCGAGGAGGACAATGAGGTAGAAAATCTGCGAGATGCCGTAGACGGGAACCAGCGAGATGAGGGTGAGGAGCCACCAGATGGGATCCCGCAGCTGGCGCCAGATGGAACGATCGTATGGATAGAGCTTGTACAGTAGCCATGCGGTGGGTGGAGAGAGCGGGTTGGGACAGAACGATGGCGGCGAGCCGTGATCGACGGGCAACGGCTTGCGGATGGCGCCAAGGACCGACTCGACGACCTCGTACTTGACCTCGACCCACATGTCATCGACGGCAGCATCAATTGACGATTGCAAGAACATGGGCATGTCCGGATCTTTGGCTCCGGCTTTGACCACCGTTTTTGCCCGATCCAGCCCTGCATGCACCTTGCGCTCGACCAAGTGTGAGGCGTACGCTCTCACTTGCTTCTTCTTGAGCGTCAGAGTCTCGTCCCATTGAGCTCGAGCGCCTGCCACCCGCACACTCGCCGTATTGCTCGCCTCATTGAGCTTGGCTCTTGCCCGCCGCATGACTATCTTGGCGAGTCAAGTGTGCGTGTGAGTGGCGCGCGTGGTTGCTGCTTGTGTCTCAGCGCGCACCGTTAGGGAGTAAGAATGAAGAGTGTGGTTTTGTGTGGTATCGCAGGAAGCAGGGGATGAGAGAGAGAGAGAGTGTGTGTGTGTGTGTACGTGTGTGTGTGTGGGAGATGGGAGGGCAGCGTCCCGATTGTGTTGTGGGGCATCGTATGAGTGCATGGGTTCCACGTGGGAGGCGCAGGACCGATGGTGGGCGGGACCAGCTTAGCGACGCGGCGAGAGAACGAGGTTAGGGATCTCGATGACAGGCCAGGGATCGTTGTAGTTGGAGGGGAGCAGTGCCTCCTCGTACTCGTTCTTCCAGTGGTAGTGGGTCTCCTTGGCCTTTGCGTATGCAAGGAGCTCCTTCTGGGTGGCGGCCTCGAGGTCGAGGGCGACAGGGAGGGCAGCGCGGAAGCCCGAGCCGTCGAGTGTGGCGACGGTAAAGGAGCCCGAGTGTGAGCGTAGGACGGTGCCGTCGAGGCGCTCGACATTGATGCGGACGGCGATGACGACGACGTGGCGGCGGACGTAGACCGGGGTGGCCTCGAGCTCAACCATGTCGGAGAGGAAGATGGGGACGGAGAAGGTCATTTCAGACATGGCGATGGTGTAGACGTAGGGGTTGCGGGCAAAGGCCTTGGCGGTTGTCCGGGCTGCGCGCTCCATCCACTTGAGCAGGTCGCCGCCAAAGATGGTCTTGTTGATGTTGAGCGAGCGCGGGAGGAACTGCTTGCGGAAGTACATGGTGGCAGCATCCATGGTGATGGACTCGAGGATGTGGTCAGAGCCGATAGACGAGTCGTAAACGTCGGCGGCGGTGAGCTCGCCAGCGGCGGCGGCGGCCTCGAGCGCCTTGATCTTGATCTTGAGCGCAAGGCTCGCCTTCTTGCGGTTGGCCACAAACTCGGCGCAAGCGGCATCGTTGCCATCGGGCAACATGGGGAGGCCCTTGCGCGGTCGAAGGTCCTCAGTGAGGGCGACCATGGTGACGAGGCAGTACTGGACGGGGATGTAGCGGCGAGTGTTGAGCTCCCACTTGTAGACGCGGATCTCGACGAGCATGGACGACGAGCCGACGCGGACAACTTGGCCATCCATGCGAACCATGTCGCCATGGAGAATAGGGCAGGTGATCTGAACGGAATCAAAGTTAACCGTCGCCACACGACCGCCCGAGTAAGCAGCAGTAATGCGACCAGCGAGCGAGTCGACCAAATCTAGTATGGTCCCCGCATCAGTCCGCTGTCCCGCCAGGCTCTCTTCGCCAACCACATCGGTAAGGAACGATTTGTAGGTACCAGGGAGAGCCTCGCCCAGACCAACAAGTTTCTTCTCAGCCTCAGCGGGTGTAGAAGCCATGAGTACCTTGGGTGGAGTACTCTCTCTCCTCAGCGCCTTCCTCTCCTTTGCTTCCCGCTTTGGTTTTGTTCGCTCCACCCCTCCACGTCACTGCCGATGTTCCGCCGACCCGCCGATATGTGACCGCCTCGCATCAGCAGCACGGATTTGTGGCTCGGGTGCGTGATATACTGCTACGATGGGAACTTGCAGCACATCGTTGTGTAGATCACTGCATGTACTAACTGACGATATTGTTGATGAGTGTGTAGCATAGAGTGGTAGGGAAGGAGGGCTCTGCGGGAGTTCATTCCAGTTTCTCCGCGCCACCCATCTCATCTCCCGCAATTTGGCTGGTAATTGACGTGGCGCGGCGTCGGCTACCATTCGAGAAGCATGGCCTTGTCTTGTCGCACATGCGCTTAGCCTTTCTTGGAATCGAGTGAAGCTGTCGGCCTCCAGGCGCAGGACTGAGGTCATCGTCAGCAAGCGATGGGCAGTTGCGGGCTGCGGAGTTTGATCGCCCCCGCCCTCCCCCTCCCCCCTCCCCCTCCCCCCCCCCCCCCTCCCCCCTCCCCCTCACCCGCACCCTCACCCGCACCCTCACCCTCACCCTGGCCACTGGTCGACCACTCGCCAATCAATGACCTTCACCATGCCCACCGTGCGCGGCAGTCGACTCCTCTGTCGCCAGCGTGACGAATTCGGCGCAGCGACCGGCCGAGGCTCAACCGAGCACTGCAAGCCGTTCGCTGTACAAGGCACTCTCGACTGTCACCACCACTGAGGATGGATGGAGGGAGTGGAGTGGCAGCAGCATCAGCCGACCATGTCGTGGTGGTGGCTGGGGTTGTTAAGGGGGAGTCTGCTGAGGTGGACGAGTCGGTATGTGTCGTCAGGGGGGGGGGGGGGGGGGAAGGGGAGGTCACCTCGTCGTGGGAGCGGGGCAGGAGAGGGGGGGGAGGAGGGGGCAACTGGGTATGGCAATAGACTGATGATGGTATGGGCTGTGCGGTGGGTGGGAATTGGATTGGGATCGGGGATGTGGGGATCGATGTGGTGGGACGAATGGTGGTGCGTGGCTCGGCTCGGGCGCAATGGCGGTGATCTGTGGTTCGGGCGCAATGGCGGTGATCTGTGGTATGGGCGCAATGGCGGTGATCTGTGGTTCGGGCTCAATGGCGGTGATCTGTGTTATGGGCGCAATGGCGGTGATCTGCGGCTCGGGCGCAATGGCGGTGATCTGCGGCTCGGGCGCAATGGCGGTGATCTGTGGTATGGGCGCAATGGCGGTGATCTGCGGCTCGGGCGCAATGGCGGTGATCTGTGGCTCGGGCGCAATGGCGGTGATCTGTGGTTCGGGCTCAATGGCGGTGATCTGTGTTATGGGCGCAATGGCGGTGATCTGCGGCTCGGGCGCAATGGCGGTGATCTGCGGCTCGGGCGCAATGGTGGGGATCTGTGGTTTGGGCGCAATGGCGGTGATCTGCGGCTCGGGCGCAATGGCGGGGATCTGTGGTTTGGGCGCAATGGCGGTGATCTGCGGCTCGGGCGCAATGGCGGTGATCTGTGGCTCGGGCGCAATGGCGGTGATCTGTGGCTCGGGCGCAATGGCGGTGATCTGCGGCTCGGGCGCAATGGCGGTGATCTGTGTTATGGGCGCAATGGCGGTGATCTGCGGCTCGGGCGCAATGGCGGTGATCTGTGGTTTGGGCGCAATGGCGGTGATCTGCGGCTCGGGCGCAATGGCGGTGATCTGTGGCTCGGGCGCAATGGCGGTGATCTGGCTTGGAAACAACGGTCTGATCGATGTGGTCGGAATGATGGTTGGTTGTGGGGACATGTCCGCCGCCACAGATTGAGCTTTTGTTCATCCGGCGTGGCTTGATCTTGTTTGCTGTTCAGCTCATATGTATCTTTCTGGCATGGCGTTTGCTGCGTGGTGCTATCTCGAGAGTACTCAACTATACCTCTGACATGAGCTCCAGAAGCGGCACGAACAACATGGCCGACAGGGCCGGCAGCCCAGATAGAGTTGCTGGCGTTGCTACATCTACTCAGCGATCGTCTTCGGGTTCACATCTCCGCCAGAGGCGCGCATCTTCGGCCGGTCATCGTATGTCGACGCTGCGTGCTGAGGCCCGACCTGATCCGGGCAGCCTGCTCTCTCCAAGCACAGCCGAGCTTGAGCGCCAATGTGGACGCGGATAACTGTCAGCGTACCCGTGCTGTGGTAGTATATATCACCAATGAACCTCCTCGCCCTGCCTCGGGCTTCACATCACCCATCTTCCGCCTCGGCCGCAACCAATCGTCCAGCAAAGCCAGCGAGTTGCCCAACTCGGCTCGCTGCGACAGCCAGCAAGATCAACCGGCCAACAACCCACCAACTCGCCCTTCCTCACCCTCCGGATCTTGCCAAATCAGAGTACCCGGGCCCCTTTCCTCCAAATCGACTGGTGATCGAGTACGGAGTGTCGGGCGAGTCAGCGAGTTGGCCGACTCAACTCGGGCGTCAGCCGGCAGGGACGAGGACAAGAGCAAGGGCAAAAAGGGGCAAGACACGTCTCGTGAGGAGAGCAAGAGACGAGACGAGCGAGAAGGAAGAGTTGAGAGCAGGAAGGAGGTCAAGGAGGAACACGTAGTATGGACGCGTCTCGGTTTGTCAAGTCGGCCGAGTCGCGGTCTCTGTGGAACTACACGCTCTCGCCCGGGTGGACCGATGCCGAGGTCGACATCCTCACAAAGTGCATGATGAAGTATGGTGTGGGCAATTGGTCGCTGTACAAGAAATTGGGCGTTCTTCCGGGGAAAACAACGGCTCAGCTGAATACTCAGACTCAGCGCTTGCTTGGCCAACAATCGACGGCGGCTTTTACCGGACTCCACATCGATCCAAAGGCTGTCTTCATGGACAACGCCTTGAAGCAGGGCGAGCAGTACGTCCGCAAGTCGGGCGTGCTCATCAACACAGGTGGGCGACTGACTCGGGAGGAGATCGAGGCTCTCCGCCAGCAGAACATGGAAAAGTACGGCATCAAGAAGGAGGTCTACGACGCCATCACCATCCCGACGCCTAACGACGACGCCGCTCTCCTTGCACAGATCGAGGACATCCAGGCTCACAACTACCTCGTCGACGCCAAAATCGAGGTCAAACGCAAGGAGCTCGAGGCCAAGATGGCCCGGGTGCAGCGCATCCGCGACCTCATTGTCGCCAAGGGCGGCACGCTCCCCACACCGCCGGCACCCGCCGAAGACGGGCCAGCGGCGAAGCGGACCAAGACGCTCGACGGGAACGCAGCGGCGTCGAGCTGAGAAGCGTTTGGTACAGTTAATATGATCCATTTACATGCAGTTGTCAAGGATGTCGCGCTCGCCGTTGGCGATCTTGATCTTGAGATGACCGTAGAGAATGACGCCGGCCATTGCGACGGCGACGCCGAGCAGGTTCTTTGCCGCGCCTTCTGCCGATTCGACTTGGGTAAAGAAGAGGAAGCCAAAGGTGAGGACGAGGATGGTCTTGAGGTGGCCGACAACCTGGTAGGTGACCGGCGAGGTCTTGCCGATGAGGGCAAAGGAGACGAGGTTGACCGCAATAGCCCCCAGGCACGAGAGCACGATGAGAATAAAGGCCGGCGCGGTGAGCCGAAAGTTGAGGACCGAGTCCTCGCCAGGCACCTCCACCATGAGGGCCACAAGCAGTGTGAGGACCGACTGGTACGGGGTGATGGCCGCAGTTGCCTGGACCGACGTCACGCCGTACTCGGACTGGCAAGAGCCCTGGTAGATCTGGAACTGGGCGGTGGCAATTGTGGCGGCGAGGCCGTACATGATGCCGGTCGAGCTGATCTGGACGTCGGTGACGGTGGCAATGCCGACGCCGGTCAACAGGATGAGCAGCGCAACCGTGATCTTGCGGGAGATGGTCTCGCCAGTCTTGACAAACTTGAGAACGAGAATGGCCGGGACACAGAGAAGCTTGAACAGCTGGTACGTGCCGAGCGAGTTCGAGTACATGGAGAGGTTCATGAGGCCAATCGAGCCGACACCAAAGGCCGCGATGGAGAGGGAGACGTTGAGCGGGAGTGTCCGGAGCTCGAACCAGCCAAAGACGTTGGCCACGATGCGAAGGAGAACGGCAGTAACCGTCAGATGAAGAAATGTGAGGGTGAAGACGTAGCGGAAGCCAAAGTACTGCATTAGCGACTTGTTGACCAGGATGAGCGAGACGCTCGAGGCGATCGATCCCAAACACAGCAGCGCCACACGAGCCGGCGACAGAGGTGCCGCCGCCACCGTTGTATTGGCTGCCATCTTGCCCTTGGGCTGAGATGGAATGCCCAGCCTAGACTCGATGTCTCCCGTTGAAGAGCCCGACATCACCTGCAAACGTTTGCAACGGTAGGAACCCGAGCCAGAGCGATTCCACCAGCAACCGAGAGTAGTGATGACAAAGGCCGACAGCGAGCACCACAGCATAACCACAATTGTCAACATGCCCATCATCATCATGATTGCCATCCATCACGGCAGCCATCCATCATCATCATCACCGTCATAGTTGTCATAGTTGTCATAGTTGTCGTCATCATCATCATCATCATCACCATCATCATCATCATCACCATCATCATCATCATCATCATCATGAGTACAGAGTCAGGATCCGCCACCCAAACGGATTCCTCATCCCTTCTCCCCACCAGACATGGCGACAGTGACAGCGGCAGAGGCAGCGACAGCGATAATGGCAGAGACCGAGACCAAGAGACCCCCCCCTCCCCCCCCCCACACACACAGAGAGAGAGAGAGAGAGAGATAGCAGAGAGTGCGTGATGTGGTACAAAACCAACAGACTCACACACACATATAGCAACAGTAACCATACCAGCATGTACGCGTTCTACAGCTCAGCCATGACCATGACTACCACCGAGTGGCGGCGAAATGAGGGAGGGCAGGATCGATCCCTTAGCGGGACAGGTTAGCCCCCTTCCCACTCTACCTACCCAGAGCCATGGAGAATGACCACATGACACTATCACACTTAAAACCATACCATGATGTAGTATACAAAGTAAACTACACCATCTGTATATATATAGTGGTCATAACCAACACAATGCACTTTCTCTCATACGTACAAGTTTGGTCCGTGCTGCCGGCAGAGAGCTGTCCAAGCGTCGCACTCGCTCTCCGTCCGCATACCGGCCGGATAGCCGACTCATACGGTCATCATCCGCGTCATCGGATCATCACACCACAGTGACCACCAGGTAGTGTTTGAAGTGAGAGGGCGTGGATGTGGATGTGGAGGTGCAGGGTGCTGGCGGGAGTGGGCGATGGGCTTGGTCGGGGCAAAGGACGGCTCCTGCCGATAGACAGCGCAGCGCGCTCATCCGCTTTGTCAAGCCATCGGTCCACAATGGACGTGATGGAGCCTTTGCAGCGAAAGAAACAGACGCATAGTTGGCCGGCCATGTGTTGATGCATTGCGTGCGAGATGGAGCGGTCTGATCCTCTCCCTGCTCGGCACCGTTCTCGGGCGCACGACGTAGACAACCAGCAACCACACACACACCCTCGCACCAAGCAAGCGCAAGCGCAAGCGCAAGCGCAAGCGCAAACGCGCGAGCGGCTACAATCCAAGCAAAGCGGCTACGCCGATGGTGACTATCACAGGCACAGCGCTAATGTTGACGATTACAACGACTGCACTGATGCTGACAATGACTCACACGGATCACCTCGCCGCAGTCCGGTCTCATCTTCCGAGTCGGACACGAGCACCACTGCACTCCTCGCAGCAGCACGATGGATGGGTTCAAGGCCGCGCTCGCCTCTCGCAAGAGCCAACTGTCACAGGTCGAGACGCGAGTCCGGCGAGCTGATGGACGAGTCCAAGTCGAACGAGTGGCGGTTGACGGTGGCGCTGCGGCGGAGCAGCTCGTGTGCGATGCTGGAGAGACCATTCCCGGCTCTGGAGGCGCGTTCATGGTGGTGGATACTTCGCCCGATGAGGATCTATGTCCTGTGCTGGCGGGCGAGCTGTTTCTCGGCTCTCAGGATGCGGCGTGTAATGTCGATGGCATCGCTGCGGCGGGCGTGGCCGTCATCGTCAACCTGGCTGTCGGCGTCCCGTGCTTCTTTCGCCGCGACGAGGGCGTTGATGGTGGCAACGAGGACGAGCGGCCGGAGATCGAGTACGGCGAGTGGCCGTTGCTGGACCTACCGTCGCAGAGCATCGACGTCATTGTCGACGAGGTCATTCCGTTTATGGCCGCGGCGCTCGATGCAGGTCGGCCGGTGCTTGTCCATTGCAACGCAGGCGTGTCGCGGTCGGCAACGGCAGTCCTCGCCTACCTCATTGTCGAGCGCGGCATGAGCTACGACGAGGCGATGGCGATGGTCCGGGCAGCGCGGCCGGCGAGTAAGCCTAATGCCGGGTTTGACGCTGCACTCCGGGCGCTCGATCGTGAGCGCAGGTAGCGGGAGGAAGGGAGAGGGATGGGCAGGCGGCTTGTGCGTTCACTTGGACAAGCGCTTGGAGATGTGCTTGGCGCCCGGGTTGGAGGCGGCGGCGATGGCGTCGGCGTGCGGGGCGAGGTGGTCGGCGATGACGGAGCCGGTCAGGTCCGACTCGAGGAGCGAGAGGAGGACAAAGTCGGAGCCACGCGAGGTGGCCAACGAGCCCCAGAGGGCACCGTCGTTGCCGGCGGCGTCGGTGAGACGGGCGACGAGAGCAGCGGCAAAGTTAAAGCCAAACTCGGAGGCGGTGTCGGCCTCTGAGGCGCGGACCATGGCCTTGAGGGCGCGCGAGGCGGCAAAGTCAAAGATGTAGCCGGCCGGCTCGCCGTCGTCGCCGTCGGTGAGGACACCGGCGAGGATAGCGTCAACAAGGGCGGCGCGGGCGTCGGCCTGCGAGGCGAGCGACTCGATGGGGGCGGTGACGAGCTCGGCGATGAGGGCGGCCGACGAGGTCTCGCTCAGCGCGGCGTCGACAGACTCGGTGGCTGCGGCAAACAGCGGGGCGGCAAACTTCTGCAGCAGCTGGGCCTGGATGAGCTCGGGCGACTTCTTGGAGTAGTGCTTGGGCTCCGAGGCGCCGGCTTCGTCGCCAGAGCGGTTGCCCCTGGTCAGGCTGAGGATGTACATCTGCCACGGCGCGAGATGCTGCGGCTTGCAAAGGGCGAGGATGTTGGTAAAGACGCGCGAGGCAAACGGGTCGCAGACGAGCTCGGCAAGGCTCGGCGGGGTCTCGCCGCCGGGCGCGGCGGGGGCCTCGACAAGCTCCTTGAGCAGGGTCTTGTAGGTGAGGACGGTATCGTCGATGACGGTGAGGGCGCGGATGAGGACGAGGTGGCCGTACTCCTCCATGGCGATGCGGGCGACAAAACCCTTGAACGAGCGCACAATGGCCTTGCGGTCCTTGGTCGTTCCATGCGAGATGGCGAGGATGGCGGCCCGGGCGCCCGGAGCAGTGTGCATGACCTCGACGAGCGAGTCGCGGACCGACTCGATCATGGCTGCCCGCTGGGTCTCGGTGGCGTTGAGCAGGTACTGCTCGAGGGCCACGTGTGCGAGCGTCGAGTTGAGCGTGCCCTTGTGGACAACGACGTTGATGGTCTTGGCGAGGTACTCCATGACCGGGCCGGCCTTGGCCGGGTACTTAGCCAACAGGCGGGCCAGCTGCGAGTGGAAGAGCGGCAGGTTCGGCTGGGCCTTGGCGGCCTTGGCAGCGTCGTCCTCAACCTCGACCGCGCTCGACGACTCGCCGGGGAAGATGAGCTCAAACTTGGGCGCGTACAGCTCGGACATCATGTCGGCCTGCTGGTGCGAGTTGGCGTAGAGGCAGTAGATGCGATCGAGGACAATCGAGGCCGTCCGGTGGGTGAGGAGCTTGCGGACCGAGCCCCTGATCTCCTCCAGCAGCTGCTTCAGCTGCGGCTTGCGGAGGTAGCCAAGGCAGGCGCGGACCACAAAGTGGCCGTACGGCGAGCACATGAGCTCGGCAAGTTGACCCTGGAGCTCGCCAAAGATCTCGAGCCGCTGCGGCTCAGATCCGGCCTTGAGTGCCCACTGAACGACGCGTGAGCCATCATGCTTTGCAGCAAACGACATGACCTGACCACGGAGCAGAGTCATCAGCTCTTCCACAAGCTTGAAGCGCTTCTCCCCCGAAATCGCCGTCGCCCCAGGACGAACCCGCTCCCAGATAGCCTTTGCCCTGGCCACGGCATCACCGTGGGCGCGAGCATTCTTGCGGTTCTTCTTGAGCTCCTTCTGTTCGAGACGCTTCTGTTTCTTGCCTACAAACCCAACCACGATATAGAACCACCACCATAGTATCATCATATAGCATAAACTGTGAGTAATATCATCCCTACCTTGCCTATCCCCCCCGCTAAGCTCACCACCAGCTCTTCGTCCTGGGATGATTAGATGCGACACGGATCCTGGCAGACACCGAGTGGGGGTGCAGGCAAGGGGCATGGGAGCCGGTATGAAGAAAGAAATGCGCAAAGTTTGTTGGTAAGGAAAGTCTGTACGTACGCTCCTCCACAGTCTCCTCTTCAACTTCACGCTTGCGCTTAATAACAGTCCCTGCGGCCTTCTTGAACACCATGGCCAAATGTGGTGTGAGTGAGAGAGAGGATGGTTGCTCCGTCGCTCCTCGCCACCAATCGATGGCATCGTCCCATCTCGCCAACGCTCCCCCCCCCCACCCGGCTCTGTTTGCAAATTTATCGTTGCTCCATTGATTATTTTCTCGATCGTGGTTGCGCTCACTCGATCGGGTAGAGAGGATACGGGGCTGGGCGAGCTGATGGAAGGTGTTGGTAGAGGGCAAGTGTGTGTGTTTGTGTGTGTGTGTGTGTGTGTGTCTTTGCGGCGGGAGGATCAGACTGATGAGGTTGGTAGTGGTTGATGAGGAGTCAGGAAGAGGGCAGGGTGAGCGGATCGGGATGGTATTGAGGGATCAATGTGTTGGGGGCGGGGTGGGGCGGGGGGGTGGGTGGGTTGGCGGGGTTGCCTGTGTGTGGAGGGTTGTGGGAGTTGTTGGGCTGTGCAAGCTCCCTACACCCATCCATCACAACCTCAATAGTCTTTCAACAGGCACCCAAACTAGTCATCTAATGCTGATCGCATGAGGAACCCTCCATTCCTTCCCTCTCACTGTACTTGGAATCAAGCCGCATCACGCTGCCTCCGATCAAGCTCGGTAGCTTGGCCGGTATCGGCACAGGGAAGACAGGCAAGCGTGGCGGTGGGGGGGGGGGGTGGGGGGTGAGCCTCAATCAACAAAAAAATAGTCACTAGCCACGTCATATTCAGCAAATGACGATGGTTGTCATTGGCATTGAAGCAAAATATGCGGAAGCGGAAGCGGGAGCAAGTGGCGGCGGCGTCAGCGGTGTGCTTGCAGCACTCGACTCGACTCAAACTGCGTGGAGGAGGAAGAGAGCGAGGGAGAGGGAGGTAGAGGAGGGATTGAGAGAGAGAAAGAGAGAGAGATAGGGATACAGAGGGGATTTAAGGAGATAGAGTTGTATTGGGGAGAAGGACAACATCATGCCTAGCCCGCGTACGTGCGACTGTGCGCTGTGTGGACTGTCCTTTACGCGAGAGTCCAACTTGCTCCGCCACATGGCCACCGTTCATGGTGATGGCGTTGGCCATGTTTGCTCAGAGTGTGGCAAGCGATTTTCAAGAAGGGATACTCTTGAACGTCACAAGGTCTCGGTTCATGGTCATGCATCGGGTTCATCCTCTCGTCCTCAGTGTCCTGTCTGCTTCAAGTATTACTCGAGAGTCTCTTCGCTCAAGCGTCACATCGCCTCGTTTCATCCCGAGTACAAGGCCGGTGCTGCCGCGGCGCTCAGGACCAAACCATCGGCTTCATCTGCTACCACTTCTACTTCTCGTTCGACTCCATCATCGACCTCGGCTCGCTCGCAGCCCTCGGCCCAACCGTCTACACCTCCTACATTAGCATCTCCTCATCCGCTGCCTACCTCTGCTCCGCCGCCGTCATCAACTCCGTACGCCTCGTCGTCGGCCGCTGCGCCTCCTCCGTCACACATCCTGCCGCAACTTCCGGCAGCTGCTGCGGTTGAGGGTCCACCGGCTCTTCTGGCCATGCTCCCGGTTCCATCGGCCGTCTCGGCGGCGGCAACGTCATCGCCATCGGACGCTGCATCGACGCTGTCACAGCTCGCGAGCCATCCGCATGGGCTCGGCTGTAGCCACGACCACGGCCACGCCCACGGCCATATCCACGACCACGGCTATGCCCATGGCTGTGCCCACGGCCATGCCCACGGCCATGCCCACGGCCATGCCCACGGTCATTCCCACGACCATGCCCACGGCCATGCCCACGGCCATGCCCACGGCCATGGCACGGCGACCATGTGGATGCCCTGGTCGACGGCAGGCTGGTTCATCTCTGCCGCGGGACCGACGAGGCTGCCAATGGCGCGAGCAGGTGTAGTCAGGCCGACGAGTCGGCGGCCAAGACGGCGGATGCCGGTGCAAGTGGAGAGAACGTCGATAGCTCACTCTGGCGGCTTGATCCCGGCTACCACGCCCACATCCACGAGCTCTTTCCGCTCCCTCTCGACTCTGGGAGCGAGGTGACGACGGCCAACCTGGAGCTGCCGTCGGACCACATCCACGGGCCCAACTGCGGCCACGCCCGCATTCTCCACGACGATCACTTTGACTACCTCGTCGACTCGTGGCTCCACCACGTTGAGACTGGCGTCGACGAGTTCCACGGGCGTGTTCCGGATCTAACTCCGCTCCCGCTTCCGCCCGTCTGCTCCACCGCTCCGCCGCCGAGCCCGAACATTCCGCCTCTCCCGCCGCCGCCGACGTCGCGACGGTGAGCTAGGCTCGCCTGCACTGCGGTGTACGTGTACAGGTTAAATTGTGTCTTTTCTGCTTTGTCCAGGACTCTCGCGCTACGCTTCCTGGGCCATGATGCCAGCGATAAAGTCCTTGGCGGTCTCCTGGTCGACCTGCTGGATGGTGGAGACCTTTGCGGTCTTCGAGTAGACGACCTGGTAGAACTGGTGGGCGACGTCGAGCATTTCCGGGCGGAAGGTGGTGGTGATGAACTGCGCCGAGTGCGAGGCGGCCTGCTTGGAGATGAGGGTGGCGACGGCAGTCCGATGGGCGGCGTCGAGCGCCGAGTCGATCTCGTCAAAGAGATAGAACGGCGCGGGATCGGTCCGCTGAATGGCAAAGATGAGGGCGAGGGCGACGACCGACTTTTGCCCGCCGGAGAGCTGCGAGATGGAAAAGGTCTCGCCAGCGCCGGTGAACGAGACCTTCATGGCCACGCCGACGTACTTGCGGATGCGCTCGGGGCCCTCACCAGCGGCCTTGCCCTTGGCCGCCGACGCCTTGCTCGACCGCGAGGTCGGGCGGTTCTCGTCCATGGGCGCGAGGCCCGAGTCGTCGTCGCTGTCCGAGGCGACGTCGTCGGCGCCGTCGTCGGTGAGCATGACCAGCGAGGCCTTGCCCGACGGAACGAGCTCGCGGAAGACCTGCGCAAAGTGCATGGCCACGCCCTTGAACGTCCGCTGGATGGCCTCGTCCTTGCGCTCGTCGAGGCTATCGATGAGCTCGCGGATCGAGGCTGCGCCCTCGTCGAGGACCGCCTTGCGCTCGCGGAGCGACTTGCGCTGCTCGTTGAACGAGATGTACTGGTCGAGCGCCTTCTTGTTCACGTGGTTGTACTTGGTCAGCTTGCGGTTGACGCCGTGCAGCTTGCGGAGCAGCGTCTTGGCGTTGACGTTTTCGTACTTGTCAAAGGCCTCGCCGGGCAGCGAGCCGAGCTCGCGGATCTTGCGCGTTGCTTCCTCGCGCGAGGCCAGCAGGACCGACCGCTTTTGCAGGATGCGCTCCATGGCCTGGGCCTGCTCATCGACCGTAGTCCGGTGGATCCGGTCGGCGGCGCGGAGCTTCTCGACCTGCGTCCGCAGCTCGGCCTCGCTCTTGGCGGCGGCGTCGCGGGCGGTGGCAAGCTCGGCGGCGCGGGCCTCGGCCGTCTCGGCCGCCTTGGTCGCCGCCGCAAGCTCCGCTTCCAGCGACGCCGCGTCTTCCTCCTGCGCCTCCAGCCGAACGCCGTCGAGCTCCTGCTCGAGCTCGGTTGCCCGCTTCCGCAGGTGGTTCGCCAGCGTCGACGACAGCTCGGCCTTCTCCAGCTCGAGCTGGGCACGGGTCGATGACGCCGCGAGCAACTGCGCTTGCAGGTCCGCCAGCCGCGACTCGGCGGCGTCAAGCGCAGCCTTGTCGTCGGCCGTGAGCGCCGAGACAAGCGGCGTGCCGAGCTCGGCGCGGAGCGCAGCGGTCTCCTCGTCGAGCCGGGCGAGCTCGGCCTGGACCGATGCCAGCGAGTCGACAACCGCCGACGCCGACGTGACCGACGCCGTCGACTGGGCCACCACCGACGCCAGCTCGTCCTGGGCCCGGCGGTGTGCGTCGAGCGCGTCGGCACGGCTGGCCTGCACCTGCTGCGCCTGAGAGAGAAGGCTGGTGACCTTGGCGTCGAGCTCGACAGCCGCTGCCTTGGCCTCGGCCGCAGACGCCTTGAGCGCCGACGACTCGGCGCGGGCGGCACGGACCTGGGCCATCGCCACCAGACGGCTCCGCTTCTTGTCGGTGTATCCGCCCGAGAGCGCACCCTTGCGCGAGACCTTGTCACCGTCAAGCGTGACGCAGTCGACCGAGGCCGACGCCGCAAAGTGGGCAGCAATGTCGAGCGAGCGGCAGACGAGCGCCCGGCCAAACACGTTGCGCATGGCAGGCTCAAACACATTCTCAAACGAGAGCTGGTCGAGGAGCGGAAGCGCATCGTCCGAGACCGGCAGCGGCGGAATGTTGTTGACAAGCCGCGAGAGCGGCATGAACGTGACCCGGCCCGACTTTTCGCGGTTCATGACGTGGAGGACCTGGGCGGCAACCTCGTCGTCGTCGACAACCACGTTGAAGAGCGACGAGCCGCCGATGGCCTCGACGGCAGCCATAAACTCGTCCGAGCAAGCAAAGAGCTCAATGAGCGGGCCGTGGACACCGGCGATGCCGTGCTGCGCCGCAATGCGCGAGACAGACTGGACGCCATTCCATGCCGCGCCCGACATCGACGATCGCAGCAGCCGCTCAGCCGACGCCGCCTTGGCCGCCGCAGCCTCCAGCTCCTTACCCATCCGGGCCTCGACCCGCCACGCCTCCTTCCGCGCGTTGGTCGCCTCGTCGCGCTCGGCCTTGATCCGCGCCAGCTCGGCGTTGAACGACTCCATCTTGCCCGCCGTCTCGGCAATGACCGCCTTGAGCGCAGTCCGGCGCGTGGCCACGTCATCCGCCGCCGTGCTCTGGGCGGCAACCTCGGCCTCGAGGCTTGCCACCTGGTCGCGCTTCGACGCGACGAGTGCGTCCATGGTCTCGAGCTCGGCCTGGATCCATGCGTCGCGCTCCGCCGGCGACGAAAACTGCCGCGAGCGACCCGACTTGGCGTAGAGCGCGTCGACAGCAACCTTGACCGACGCCTCCTGGGCCGCCAGCGCCGCCTCCTCGGCCTTGACGGCCTCAAACTCGGGTTCGACTACCGCAAGCCGGGCCTCGGCAGCCTGAATGCTGCGGGTGAGCTCGTCGAGCTCTGTGCGCATAGCGGCAAAACGCTGGGCCTTGGTCGAGCCCGAGCGCAGAGCGTCGGCGACCCGGAGCTCGAGGCGAGCCTTGTTTTCCAGCGCATCGGTCCGCTCGTCGCTGGCGGCCTTGAGCTTAGCCTTGAGCTCCTCGAGCTTGCCCCCCAGCGCCGCGAGCTCGGCCTCGCGCGCCGCCAGCAGCTCGCTGTCGTCGGCTGACGCCCGGTGGTTGGTCTCGGCGAGCTCGACTTGCTCCTGGCGGGTGAGCTCGAGCGCCTCGAGCTCGGCAACTGCAGCCTTGAGGTCGCCATTGTAGATGGCGTACTCGAGGCAGCGGCGGTCTTTGTCGAGCTCCTGGTACTCGGCGAGCTCTTTCTTCTCGGCTTCGAGCTCGGCGAGGCGCTCCTCGATGTACTTGAGTACGTCGGCAATCTTGGTGCGGCGCTCGTCAGTGTCCTCCATGATCTCGATCGACTGCGCCCGCGACTCGTCGTACACCCGTGTTCCGGCCACCTCCTTGAGGAGGTCCAGCCGCGCGTTGTCCTTCATCATCGAGAGGGCGGCAATGCGTCCCTGGCGGACAATGTAGTACGGGTTCGACCGCGAGAAGCCGGCAGACTCGAGCATCGAGTTGATCTCGGCCCGCGACGTGTTCTTCTTGTCCACAAAGTACTCGTCCTTCTTCTGCCCAATCGTCCGCCGAATGACCACTTCGTCGCGATCCACAGGGAACCGCTCGTCCGAGTTGTCAAACGTCAACTCCACAAAGGCCGACATGACCGCAAGACCGGCACCCTCATGAAGCATAGCCACCCGCTGCTCCTGCGAGAGGCTCTGGTACTCGTCAGAGAGCACAAACTCGATGGCAAAGAAGAAGTTCGACTTGCCAGACCCATTCTCTCCCACTGTTCACACCCAGCGTCCGCCCGCCCATCTCCTGTGAGTCGTTCTGTTGATGACCGAGTGTGTCCTTGGGCGTCCTCGCTCGCTCAAGATCAACCAGCGTTGGGGGGGGGGGGGGGGTGGCGAACAGCCTCTGTGGCTGCGTATGGGAGAGCTACGCGGAGGGAGAACAAGCGTACGGCGTGTTGCCTCTAGTGTACATGTGATGTGCGCTTGTGGGGCGTGGGGGAGTATGCGTGCGTGTGTGGGGGGGTGGACGGTTGTGGGGAGGGAGGGAGGGGGAGGTGGGGGAGGTGAAAAGGGTCGTGATTCCGTTTTTCCGGTTCTACGACCTTTTTCCGACCCCCCCTACCATAGGCATAGAAAACATAATGCATATATAACACGGAGAAGGGCAGAGTCATGCCCCAACGTACCAACAACGTTGTGCTGTGACGAGAATGGCGCTACGCGTGTTAGGTCCTTGTAGGACTTGAAGCCCTGGAGCGTGATCGCCTTGATGTGCATCGTCCAGCAGCCAGAGGATTCTACCAATCGAGACGAGCGTTAACTGTTGAGTGACGAGTGGCGGGCGGCGGGCGGCGGATGCCTGGCAACGGGGGGGAGGGCGGCGAGGCGGATGGTGTCAGATGATCGAGAACTGTAGTGACTACTGCGGTTACAGCTGCGGCTAGAACTCGGGTGGAGAGTAAAAGGAGGTGGGGATGTTGGCCAGATCGTCAGAGTCTGAGCGGTTGCGAGCAAGGCTGTGGCTCGAGTACTCTGCCGAGGTTGAGGGCTCTGCCGAGGGTGGGGACGAGGGGGAGGACAGTGCGCCGGCTTCGTAGGTGGCATCAGCGCCATCAGTGGCGGGCTGGTGAGTGGAATGCGGCAGCAGCGGCGCTTCGACGTAGTCAAAGCCGTGAGCGTCAGAGGGAGAGGACGAGGAGGCCGAGCCAGATGAGAGGCGATTGAGCGAGGGCGGGACGTAGTCGCCGGTGGCGTTGCTCGCGCGCTGCTCTGCGAGGAGGACGGCGAGGGCCGGGTCGGACGAAGAAACGCCCTCGGAGATGGCAGTAGGGACAAGCGAGGCCGGGACGAGCTCGAGCTCGTGGTTGAACTCGATGAGGTGGCACGGCGCGTTCGGGTTGTACTTGTTCGAGACAAGCGGGAGGATGATGCGCTTGTCGAGGGAGCGCCAGCACTCGGCAGTGGCGGAGCGGTAGCGAGCGCGGCGCGAGGTGGAGCGGCGGGCGGAGGAGGAGGCGACGGCAACGGAGCGGCGGCCGTCGAGGCCGCCGAGAACGTTGGCGGCCTCGGCCGCTTGGCGGGAGGATGAGGCGACCAGCGGGGTGTTCCGAGAGGCGCTGTTGTGCTCGGCAACGTCGTGCATCTCGTAGTCGCCGTCGCGCGGCGAGGAGGCTGGGCGGCCGCCGGCCGCCGAGCCGTTGAGGCCGAGCAGCTTGAGAAGCGGACCCATGGTGCCGCCGGTAAAGATAGTGGCGACGACGACACCATGGGTGGTGGCGACCAGGAGCGGGCGGGAGCTGGTGGGCAAAGTGAGGGCGAGCGCGTACGAAACGGCACCGCGGAGGCCAGCAGCCCACATGACCATCTGCATGGCCGGAGTGATCTTGGTCTTGCGGCCGCAGTTGAGGGCGGCCGAGAGAGGGACAACGTTGGCGGCGCGGCCGATGAGACAGGCCATAAAGCAGGCGACAATAAAGATGGGTTCGTAGGCGCGCTCAAAGGTAAAGGCAGAGAGGCCGAGGTAGGCAAAGATGACGGTCTCTGCGAGCTCGGCGAGCGAGCGGAACATGAAGATGCAGCCCTCCTGACCCTTGGATGAGAGGTTGTACCATGCGTAGTGGCGCACGCTTGCGCCAAAGGCAAAGACTGCGGTGATGCCCGAGAGCTGCGAGGCACCAGCGAGGAGATAGGTGGCAAAGGCTGTCAGCAGCAGGATGGTGGCCTCCATGGTGGGGAAGAGGTACAGCCGGGCGTGCTTGGTGCCAAAGGCGAGGGCGATGGCGGCGAGAGTGCCAAAGACAACAGAGCCGACAAGGACCACTACAAACTGGACAAAGGCCAAGGTGAGCGTGCCGGCAGTGACAGGATCGTCGACGTACTGCAGCAGAGCGCCAAAGAGGACAATGGCAACAGCGTCGTTCATGACCGACTCGCCAAAGACGAGCGAGTCGAGCGTCTTGTCGGCATCAAGGGTGTGGAAGATAGCAAGCGTAGAGACCGGATCGGTAGCCGAGATGAGAGAGCCAAACAAGAGAGCCTCCACGATGGAGAGCTGCTTGTCAGCGGCGAGACCGAAAGAAGCAGCCCAAGCGAAGAGGCCAACGACAACGGTAGAGATGATGGTGCCGGGAATGGCGAAGGTCATGATGGAGCCCAAGTTTGCGAAAAAGGCTTTGGCATGGAGACCAAAGCCCGACTCAAAGATCAAAGGCGGCAAGAGGAGTGTGGTAAACACGCTCGAGTTGAACTCGGTCATCGAGGCAGATGCTCTTGGCGCCGTCCACCGCAAGAGAGCGCCTGCGAGCATACCCAGAACAATGACGGCTCCAGAAGGCGGGACAATGGTAACAGCCGATGCCTTGAGAAGGTATGACACAATGTATGCAACAAGAACAAGTAGCGTGAGAAGTCCTGTTTGTAGGTCGATGGTCTCCTCTGTCATGGCGGTGGCCAGGTAGGTGGGTGTCACCGTGGTGGAGTCAGGTGGTGGCGTTCTCCATCGAGCATCATCGCCCACCATCCATTGCCAACTCGCTCCATAGACGCCACATCCTCCTCACCTTGATGTTGATCGATGTGTAGACGGCGATAGAAGGATGGAAGGATGGACTGGTCGCTCGACGGGGGACGATGAGGGCACGAGGTGACGGCGTGTGTAGAGTGTGAGACGTGTGCGGCGGAGTTTTATTTGATCTCTGGATTGAAACTGGAGATGATGAAGACGCCAGCTTGAACAGTGGCAAAGGTTAAGTTTATGCATGCTCATGGAGATGATGTCTTGGCTAATGGCTAGTGTAGATCATGTGCACACGTTGTGGTTGTTTTCGGGAGAATCGGAGAGTGTGGAAGAGTGTGGGGCTGTGTGAAGCTGCATGATGGTCCGTACAGCTGGCTGGTGCGCCGCGCAGGCGTGCGAGATCTGCAGCTGCACCTCATGCTCGCTGCATCGGGCCCGCTGCAATGTCTCCACCACCATCTAGCCTGGATCCAGTCGTGAGCGGCTGCGTGCTGATGGGGTTTAGTGGCTGTCGGCCGTTCTACATGGACGGGCCAGGCCGCAGCTACGGGTAGGCAATGTTCTCGCCAAAGCCGGTGACCTCGGTGAAGAGGAAGCCATGGGGCGCGGTAGCGTTTGCAATCATCGAGTAGGTGTTGTAGCCGGTGGCGATGAGCTCCTTGCCGGCGGGGCTAATGGAGACAAGGTACTTTGCCAGAGCGCGAGTCTCGCCGTTGTAGATGAACTCGGACTGGTACGAGTACGCGCCGAGCTTTGCAAACGAGGTGTACTGAGAGCAAAAGGTAGCGATGGTGGCCGGGCCAGTAAAGGCATTGCCCTGCGGACCGTAGATCACTCCATCATCCGTCCACAACGAGCCAAACTGCTCGCACTCGCCCGAGAGCAGCAGCTCCTTGTACTCTATCATGAGCGAGTCCGTAGTTGCCGAGGCGGCAGCGAAAAGGGCAGCAAGAGCGAGAGCAACGATAACGAAGCGCATCACCATCTATATTTGGTAAGCAAGAGTGGTGTATGTGTGCTTGTGTTTGTGCGTGCGTGTGTGTGTGTGTGGTTGACACGTGTGCGTGCGTGCTTGTGTGTGTGTGTGTGTGCGCGTGGTGTCTGCTGTTTTGCCGTCATCTCGTGTGCGGAGCATGGTGCGGACCTTGAAGCGGGCTAAGATGCGGAGAGGAATGCGATATCCAATCCCATGCCCCCCTTTCCAGCGAGATGTGATTAGGGTGACGCCGGCTGATGTGGTGACCCATCATCCCCCGACCCATCCCCCCAGCGTACGCCGCAATTACGCCCTTTGCAGCTTGGGCTCCACAATATGGGCCTAACTTTGGGCGGGAACACCATTAGGGGCCGCGCCAAAGTACACGAAAATCAAAG